TTCGTGCTGCAATCGCATGAAGTGGTCTGCCAAGTGCAGTCACTGGATGCAGATCTGTCCATTGTCCACTGTCCACTGTTCATTGTTGAGAATTGCCTTAAGAGCACTGGAGTGTGATGTAGACTTGATGACTCAAGTTCTGCTGTGCCGATGTTTTATGACTGGTGTGACATACCATTTAACGTATCTTATCATTACGCCGAGTTTATCGACGCAATTAGCCTTTTGGATTTAATGTGACTTATTAATGATGATAATCCGTGCTAGCCATATTTATGGATGGCTTTGATACGGAATACATGCAGGCATACAAGCATATTTATCTAATATCTACCTTGTTTGTCGCGGCATCTTTGTCTAGGACTTAAATGCTCCTTTCATGCAATGTGCTGCCTCACATCATCGAAAGTATCAAGTCAAGAAACAAAGTTGTTCTGAACTTTTCCAGGAACGATGCTGCCGAATCAAGAATACATGCTCCAGCTCTCTGGTGTTTTCCACACCGGGCAGGTGAGGCCTTGCAAGACTAACCGCATTGTAATCTTAAGGTTATGCAATGATCTTCCGTGTTCCACCCGGAATCCGTTCTTGTTCGCATTCCCGGCACGCCGTCACGTGCCGTGGCTCACGCGGGGCCCTTGATAAACGGCTGTAGTCTACAGGCGGCTGACGATCGGAAGATGAACACGCTGCGTGGCTTAACTCCTGCTGCAAAACACCGCCAACAGCAGTCCGAGGGTCACGTGATCCGCGCCTGATAACCACAAGCCCTCGCTCTTGGCCACGAGCTCACCGGAGGACAGCCGGTCCGTGCGCTCGCTGTGCCGTAAGCCCGCTGCCTGGACACGCTGCCCCTGACGCCGGCTGTCGCCCCCATCCAGGTGGAGTCCGGCTCCTGCTTCCAACAGCTGCTGGGCTCTGTGCCGACCGGGGTCATCCTCAAGGACGTGTCTCTGGAAGTGCACGGCGGCGAGGTGATGGCTGTGCTCGGTTCCAAAGGTAAGTCACGGCAACGGATCGTGGCGAGAAATGAGAGTGCCAACCAATTCTTGCAGTTGGTAAAATATCTCGAAATGCGACGCGCTTATGATGCGACCCCTGGCCGTTCAGAGACACTTTTTGTGAGTACCAGGATTGTTGATTTATTTCATTGGATGAGTTTCCACTGCGTTTGAACTGTTGCCCGTCTGTAATGACATCAGTCATGTTGCTTGTTATTGAGTGCTGAGGTAACGCTGTGGCCACTGCGAACTGTGCTGGACTCCGGGTTGAGCCCGAGTCAAGTGCAGCTTCAACAAACCTTACCAATGTGATTAGCTGAGTCAAAAGGAAACCGATTGCTCAATGTTTTCTGCGCTCGAATCGTAGTCGGATCAAACTTTATTGGTTGGAGTCGCTGTTGGGTCTTTCAAGTTGAAGTGCAGGAAAATGATGTATGGTTAGATAGGTAGGTGCGTTCACTCGTTTACGTGCACATTTGCTTGATACAGGCACGTGCTTGATCCCAAATGTATGATCCCTGGCTCGCGCTGGTCACTTCGTGAAGACGAGACCCTGGATCCCGGCTCCTATTGGCTCCTCCGCAAACCCCAGGTCCTGGTTCCTGGGTCCTATTTGTTCCCTTTCAAGCTCCAAGTCCTGTTTTCTGGCTCTCACTGCCTTTCTTGTAAACACCGGATGCTGACTTCTTCCCACTGTTTTTTTTCTCACAAATACCAGAACCCAGTTCCTTGTTCCGTTTAGTTCACTAAAACTGCCAAATTTTGGTGCCTTATCGTCTTTGCGTTCTTCATTTTTACTAGCTTTGGTTGCGGTTTGTAGCTTACTTACACCTCAACAGGTATAATTTTCGAATTAAAAAATATGATGCAATGCATCAATTAGACAATACTAGAGGGCAGGCATTGCGCGGTGCGCACTCTTTTTAAAGGCATCGTTTGTGACCCAGAAACACTTCACGGCTTGGCCTTTTGATGACCTTGCTCATCAAAAGCTGAGAAACATATTACGTGAGCTTTATGCAGCTTATCTTCACTTATTTTATTCGGAGCCGACGCGGCTTTGTGTAATTTTCTGTCGTCCTGCTTGATTTGGAGGTTCACTACGGGACGTGTCACATTAGCTGATCCAGTACAGGCCAGCGGCGCGTAGTCAGCCGCAACCCAGTGGATATACGTGCCCTTACACTTACACACTGTTACCTCATTTGAATTACTTAAGTCCCGGATGCCACAGCCCCGGACTGCGAAATATCTCTTTACATGGTCTAAATGTCCGACGCCCGAGATGTGATACACATGACATGTGAGATGATTAGCACATCAAACTATTGCGCCTGGCAGCGCGTCACAAGCTGCACGCCAGACCTGATGTCGGCGCCAGTGCCACCGCATGCTGTCGCCGCATCCAAGTCTATTGCGTCCGATTCGCTACGACTCGCTACGACTCTCGGCCGCCGAAAGGGCCGCCAGCGCACACTGGCCGCTCACGTCATCGGCACCGGCGGCAGAGCGGCCAATGGGCGCGGCGTTTGACACTCACGAGAACGGGCAACTTTGTAGTGGATTTCCTCTTCGGAACTAAATCGAAACCGAAGAAAATGTCTACTGCGCTGCTCGGAATCATCATCGGGATCGATTCCACGTCCTTTGAATCGGAGATTGAATTGATTTCGGTCAGGCGAAAACGAGCGCGAATCTGCCGGTAGCGCTATAGGCATGAAATGTGGCCCCTGATGGCGTGGTATGACATCGAGAGGCTTAGTCAGACCCAATACGGCAGGAATAGAACCGCCACCGAGAATTTACATCAGTATTGGGAAAAGCTCAACAGTTCTCATTAATGTCTATCCCGGTGGCTCAGCTAGTTGGAGCGTCTGCCTTCCGATCCACCCACTCGTGGCAGGGGGATTCGAGTCGCTTGAGGCGCTTGCTCTGTGCACTTAACAGGCATGACATGCGACCGGCGACAGCGGTCGCGCCAAAGGTCAGTTGATGTCATAGGGCAGGACGGATCGTGCCGAGCGTTGCGGCACGTCAAGCTTTCGCCACCAGATTCTGCCGCTGTCCGGAATTGCGCGATCGGATGATAGGGGTCCGGGCTCACACAACAAGCACTGCTCAGCGTGAGCTCTGATCCCAGAAATCCGTCCATTCGAAAGGTTCGGATTGAATCTTAAAAAGTTACCTTGTATCGCGTTGTACTGGATGCCGTAAATTATGTCATGAATGTGTCTCTAGCCAGTTTTGCCCGCTATTTCTAAGTTTCTAGCGAGTGCATGCGCCACCCCACATGGCCACCGTGTCTCTCCGCCAGGCAGCGGCAAGCGCGCCCTTCTGGAGGTGATCTCGCGCCGGGCCCAGGGCCGCAACAGGGGCCAGATCCTGCTGAACAACGTGCCCATGTCGCAGCAGCTGTTCCAGGAGCACTGCGGCTACGTGACGCAGAAGGCCGACCTCATCCCCGGCCTGACAGTGCGCCAGACGCTGCAGTACGCCGCCAACATGACCATCTCCATGCAGGTGAGGCGGTGAAACAGGATTGTGATGAGTGACTTTGCTGCCAGCAGGTACTTCTCACACTTGTGGTGTAGCTTAAGCACTGAGGCATAACCTTGTTTGATGAGTATTTGTGGACGATTTATGTCGAAGCGCACAGTATTGAGCGCCTCACTGTGTGGCTGAGTGTCTTAAAGTGGCAAACAAAGACCTTCCATTGCATTCGTGAAAACGTCCACATGTAGGGCTGAGCGACGGGTCTCATAGCACACCAGACAGCATACTGTTGCCTGCTGTTAATATTGACGAGTACATGTCACCAGATAGCTGGCGTCATCTTCCGTTTGATTCCGTGACCACCGCTCCGGCAGATATCGGGCGGGGTGAAGGCGGCGCGAGTTAAACAGGTGATGGCCGACATGGCGCTCACCAACGTCAGCAACCGCGGGGGTCGAGGACCTGACGGGCGTCCGAGTACAAGCGGCTGGTGATCGGCGTCCAGCTGATCCGGGACCCGGGTGAGGACACCCTGGTCCTCCCGTCCGTATCGCACTTCTGTGCCGCCCTCGTGGACCGGGGAGAGGACGCCCTGTCCCCTCCCGTCTGTATCTCACCCCTGCTGCCTTCGTGAACCCGGGTGAGGACGCCCTGTCCCCTTCCTTTCGTACCTGCTGCCCTCGTGGACCCGGGTGAGGACGCCCTGTTCCCTCCCGTCCGTACCGCACCACTCCTGTGCCGCCCTCGTGGACCCGGGGAGGAAACCCTGTCTCCTCCAGTCCGTACCGCACTCCTGCTACCCTCGTGGGGTCTTTCGCCAGGGAACGACGCCCTATTAGTACCATTCGTGAGGAATGCTTGCTAGCACCATTTTGGTTGCGTCGCTGAGTGTTTTAGCGAACCCAACGCCACTATGTCAGCTCAACGTTCATATTTCAACCCCAGTCTCGTGGTCCGCGATTGGGATGACAACAACGTGTCATGTCTTCAACTGACTGTTGAACGCTAACTGACACACACACGACTGGTCCGGACACCATGTGTGTGCACATTGATGAGTCGATCGTCTGACGCCATCTTGATCTGCTGTTACAGTGTGTCTCCTGCTGGACGAGCCCACTTGGGACCTGGATCCACTCAACACCTACTTCATCATCTCCATCCTCTCCAACCACGCCAAGAAGTACAACCGAATCGTGGTGCTCACCATGGAGAAGCCCCGCTCCGACATCTTCCCCTTCCTGGACCGCGTGACCTATCTCTGCCTGGGCGACGTCGTCTACACGGGCAGCACGCGCATGATGCTCGACTACTTCCGGGTCATCGGCTTCCCCTGCCCGGAGCTGGAGAACCCGCTCATGTACTACCGTGAGTTCTCAGTCTGCACTCCGTCGCCCTCAAT